CTTAAAGCAGTATAGCCAAATACCCTTTTTGGCCCTGCCCCTCAGCCCCCTGGGGGGTCAGCCACACCATTTGTACAATTTTAAATCCCTGCCTCCCAGGAATGCTTTTGATCAAATATGATTGATATCCAGTGCACAGTTCTACAGAAGAAGTCGTTTGTAGCAATATAGCCAAATGGCCCCCTTTTGGCCCCGCCCCTTAGCCCCCTGGGGAGTCAGCCCCACCGTTTGTACAATTTTTAATCACCATCACCTAGGGATGCTTCCAGTCAAATATGGTTGATATCCACTTCTTAGTTCCAGAGAAGAAGTCGCTTAAAGCAATATGGGCAAATTGACCCCTTTTGACCCCGCCCCTCAGCCCCCTGGGGGGTCAGCCCCACCATTTGTACAATTTTGAATCCCCACCACCTAGGGATGCTTCCAGTCAAATTTAGTTTAGTTCCAACGCGTGGTTAAGAAGATCCTGGCGTTTAAAGAAATTGTTGACGGACGGACGGCCGGACGGACGGACGGGCGACAGACGGACGCCACGGTATGGCATAAGCTCACCTTGGTCCTTCAGACCAGGTGAGCTAATAATGATATTTGCAAAAGTTACACATACTTTGAATTAGAAATACTGAAAGGGGTTTACTCTTACGACACAAAAGGTCTAAATGGCCTGTATCACTCACTGAATATTTAATGATGGAAGCATTCTACAGCCCAACATGTGTTAAGAGACCACACATAGAAAGCCAAAGAAACCCTCACAAGCCAATCATTATTACTTTTGACTCATGATTCTCATAACTTTGAAGAATGTAGGTTCAGTTAATCTATTTGAACAAAATTGAGGGTCCTTGGCATCCAAGTTAACAATGTGCAAAATGCACTCAGGATCATGAAAATTATTTTAAAATTTAAACATATTTGACCCCAGTGAACTTGAAAGTGGTTCATGCAAGGTTGTTTAATTAAACAAACTTGATAGCTATTGATCACAGGCAGCTACATGCCAAATATCACGGCAAAGATCAAAGGATTGATGGATGACGCAACATAGCTTCAGTGTCAGTTAACAAGTGAGTTAAAACATTTCTCATCTATTCTCAGAAGCTACTTTCCTTACCTATTACAAAATCTTTCCCATTATTTAACTCACCCAAGGGCATACATCGACCCCCAAAGTCCGGCTATGATGCTGTATGTACTGATGTTATTCTCAAAACCCCTTTCTCTGAAAATACGCAATTCACATCCAAATGTGTTCACAGTATTATACACACCACAAGTTTGATCATTATTGTACATTTTGTCAAGATCAGATCAAATGCTTTCCTTATTTACTTCTAATTTCTCTCAAATATTCTTTTTGTTTATGATGGCTCCTTGCATAAAAATAAACTGCTTATTTGAAAGCAACAATTTTCCAAAACATATATTTCAAATTTTGCTTAAATGAATTTCTAAATTAAAACATTGCAACTTGCAGATAAATTCTGAAAAATTCATCAATGAAAATGAAATGGTTTACAAATACTTACTCAGCAATTTTGAATAGGAGGTCAAAAGTAGGAATGATGGCAGCACTGTCAGCGACTCCGATGATCACGAGACTGACAATATTCAGCCATAGTTCACTGTGAAATACAGCAACAGATTTACTCCATAAATAATAAACAATGATCATGGGATATGTCTAGAGGTGTTCAGAATGAATAGCTTCACTAGTTTACATTACTTAACGTTAACATTTGAAGATGAATCAATGACAAAGACTTACTTCAAGTTTTAGTTATTAACAGACCAAGGTCCTTATTAGTAATTTTAGTACAAAAACAGGCTCAAGGTCCTTGACATCAGTTTTTGTCATATAAACTTTTTATATTTAATTGTTTATTTTTCACGGTTTTACATAAACAATTTTGACATAATCATCATCATAATTATTTTTTTACATTCCTTTAGTTGCTATTAACCCTTTCACCACTGTAGACAATAATTGACTCATCCACATCAATAAATGGTAGAGTCTACTAAAGTTACATAGGGGTGAAAGGGTTAAAGAAAACAACAAATACTGACATACACAAAATTCACACAGACATATTAATTTTTGTCATAACTTGACCAAAGGTCCTAAACAGTCATTTAAGTTATAACTAAATGACTTGAGCCTAATTGTGTATATTAAGACTCAAGGTCTTTGGCAGTCATAGTAGAACTTATTTAAGTAAAGGTCATTGATGGTCATTTTAGTTATAATAAGGCTAGGCTCATGGTTTTAAAGTTATGATATATTTATTTTTAGTTGTTGAGACATGAAGGAGAAATAATCATGTATTAAATCATGATAATATGGCAATGCTACAACCATGGCTGAGAGATGTTTGGGCTTGTCAAACATTTACTATGTCTATGGTAAAACACCATCTAGTGGTGACCCACTGTGTGAATGGTCAGAACACACTTTAGTAGTGATGTATTATGTGCAGCACACAAAAAAGAGAGGATGGCAGGGCTGAAAACATGCAATAGCGTAAGTGTACTTGTCTTTGGACAGATGAATCAAATCTTTAATATAGGACCTGTAACAGTATCGTTATCAGTCAGAATAAAAATAAGTAACTTTTATATTCACTTCACATGACATCATATTATACTTGTGATAAGCCCAGGGGGCCTGTGCATAAAAATATGTCAAAAGTAGGGGGTGGGCTTATCACCAGACATGGGCTTATCACCAGATATGGGCTTATCACCAGATATGGGCTTATTACCAGATATGGGCTTATTACTAGATATGGGCTTATTACCAGATATGGGCTTATCACCAGATATGGTAATAAGCCCATATCTGGCGATAAGCCCAAGTCTGGTGATAAGCCCATATCTGATAATAAGCCCATATCTGGCGATAAGCCCAAGTCTGGTGATAAGCCCATCACCAGATATGGGCTTATTACCAGATATGGGCTTATCACCAGACATGGGCTTATCACCAGATATGGGCTTATTACCATATATGGGCTTATCACCAGATATGGCCTTATCACCAGATATGGCCTTATCACCAGATATGAGCCTGTGTATGTCTATAGAGTTCAATCAGGTCAGTCAGGTGAGTTAGAGTCACTTACTTATAATCTTTTTCAAATCCTAGGAGCGTAGAGGGACCGAGCAGCAACATTCCTCCCGTCGACATCAGACAGCCAAAGACAAGGATTATACGACTGTCCTTCTGTTAAACAATATTGTGTTACATTTTCATTAGTGAAATATTTGAAATTTATAATGTGGCTTAAACTTATACTCAAACAAAAAAATAACCATCAGGGAGTTGTAATTGCCACTAGATGTGATTTAAACGTATACTCAAACAAACCAAGGTGTCGGCCTCTGAAATTTCTGGTGAGGGAGATCTCCCTCGTCCACAGTTCCCATGAGAGAGAAAGTGTGTAAAATGTGACTGACACTGCTTTGTGTAAATTATCTTTCCATTTATCAAAATAACTCCTAAAAGTATTCATTTGATTTACACACACCGTGCAGTAACTAGGAGATCAGTTGACCACAGGATGTAGATTTTGATTTTGTGCGAGTTTGGACTTGAATGAGGGAGTTTCGAGGGAGATTGGTAAATTTTGGTAAAAACTCCCTACTAAGGAAGGGTTGACAGCTACTGACCACTCTGTCAGAAATCCAACCCCAAATCGGTGAAGCGATTGCATAAACAGCTGCCATCAGCAGAAAGAGGAGGCCGATCAGCTCCGAGCTCAGGTTGAACTGACAATGTAAAAAACATGTCATACTAAAAGAAATGTAAAGAATATTTCTCCTGTAGCTATAACTGATTATCATAGAAGCTAAATCTACAGGACATGTGAATAAATTCATTTTAACGCAATTTACTATAATTACTTACAACAACATACAGTGAAACCCCACTTCCTCAAACTCATGTCTTCTGCGTTTGTCCCCTTAGCAAAAAGTTTACATTACCTATAAATACATATTTACCTGTGGATATTTTTGCACTAATTTACTTAACATCAAAAATGCAAGCATGTCTACACCATGAGATTTTCCACTTTTACAGTACATCATTATTAAGAATTTAATGTCACAAATTTGTTGGTGTGTAATATCCAATGGGTGTTTCAGGTATGATACTATATATATGTTGCTCTTTTTTGTAGGGAAACACGATTATTTGTTTCTTCGAGGTTTATCATGTTTCAAGAGGACAAATCCCAAGTTCCACATGATTAATTCGGGCAAATATGTTTTATTATGGTAAAACAAAACTATAATCTAATAGTAAGGATGACCAGGTTGACGGTCCAATGTTGCTATCTGTTTCAGTCATTCGGAACCCAGTCGTCTGCTGGATAACAGAACTACTCGGTAGTGAAAACCTATCAATCAAACTTGCTGTTAAATAAGGTACTCTACCTCCTCTAAGTGAGGCTCCAGCGTCGGGTCCAGTATCGACCAAATTATTGCCGCAACAGTGATGGTCAAACAGTTGACCACTGTTTTGTACGACTTGATCATCAAAAACAGCGATACCCCTCCACTGGATGACACATGGTGGACAACTACAAAGAGGAGAAAATCACCGAAAATAGATACAAAGCAACACACTTGATGTTCTTACCTAGCATGATTGACATCACAGGGGCAAGGCACAGACTAACTCCCACCCCCTATATGCTTATGTAATGTCACTATGTAAGCATATAAGGGGTTGGTGTTAGTCTGTGTCTTCCCCCTGTGATTAACACTGGCAAACTGGATCTTGAAAAAAGTTTAAAATATATCATTATTACACCTATTTGGTCCTACTCCGAAGCCTTTGCAGACGCCAAATCTTTCATCTCACAAATTGTCTGACCTTGAATAAGCAATGCTTCATACTTACTATTAATCATGTAGAGTTGCATTTATGAGCTAAACCCTTTCACCACTGTAGACCATAATGGAATCATCCAGATCAATGTCAGGTAGAGTTTACGAAAGTTTCATGGGGGTAAAAGGGTTAAGTGATTAAGATTTACCGTATTTCCCCTATCAAGTAGCCTTGGCCTTATTAAGGACAATCTACACCAATTCAACAAAGGTTCTAGATATGTCCTAATATTAGCCTCAAATCATGGTGTCCTAACAAACCATGGAGTATCTACTGGATCAACTCTTCCCTGTTTTAAAGTTACTTCTCTAACAAGAGGCCCAATGGCCTTAGCGGTCACCTGAGTTATATCATAGGTACTGGTAGCTTTATTTGATTGTTTAGATGTGATGTGGAAATCAGCATGTAAACTAAGTGAAATACAATATTTGTCATGTCATCAAAGGATAATAATTTGAAAATATTGGTAAATGTTCCCTTTGGGGGCCCGCCCTAGCCCCTGGGGAGGGGGCAGGAATCCCAATTTTACAAAGTAATACTCTCATTCACCAACGATGATTCTGACCAAGTTTGAAAAATATCCATCTACTGGTTCTTGAGAAGAAGTTGAAAATGTAAAAAGTATAGGCAAGACGCACGACGGACGACGGACGATGATGGACGGAAAGCGATTAGAATAGGTCACTTGAGCAAAGCTCAGGTGACCTAAAAATGAGAAAAATGAAAAGTACTTTTTTCTTAAGAAGTTTGGGCAAACTTTGTGCTTACATTCATCAGTCGGAACAATCCAGTAGTTTAGGATGGTTGTCAGAAATATGATACCACCTATCACAGTAAACGGTAACAGGAAACCTCCCACCTGTTAACAGGAGTAAAGTATGTTATTGTTGTCAGAAATATGATACCACCTATCACAACAAACAGTAACAGGAAACCTACCACCTGTAAACAGGAGTAAAGTATGTTATTGTTGTCAGAAATATGATACCACCTATCACAGTAAACAGTAACAGGAAACCTCCCACCTGTAAACAGGAGTAAAGTATGTTATTGTTGTCAGAAATATGATACCACCTATCACAGTAAACGGTAACAGGTAACCTCCCATCTGTAAACAGGAGTAAAGTATGTTATTGCTGTCAGAAATATGATACCACCTATCACAGTAAACGGTCACTGAAATGAAACCTCAGCGTAAAAATCACAGGAGTTATCTCCCTTCATGATTAAAATAATATTTTGTACTCATTTATCACCGAAATGAAACCACAGCGAACAAATCACAGGAGTTATCTCCCTTTATGATTAAAATAATTCTTTGTTCTCATTTATCACTGAAATGAAACCTCAGCATACAAATCACAGGAGTTATCTCCCTTCATGATTAAAATAATACTTTGTACTCATTTATCATTGAAATGAAACCTCAGCATACAAATCACAGGAGTTATCTCCCTTCATGATTAAAATAATATTTTGTACTCATTTAAAACCGAAATGAAACCTCTGTGAACAAATCACAGGAGTTATCTCCCTTCATGATTAAAATAATACTTTGTACTCATTTATCACTGAAATGAAACCTCAGCGAACAAATCCAGGAATTATCTCCCTTCGAATAATAACCCCCCATTCTAAATAAGCAAAGCTCATGATTCCGACTGAAAGAGCAAACTCTTTCTATTTTTTTTCTAGTCTTTTTTCTAATTTCTGAAACTGTGTTCTTCTGATATTTAAGCAAAAAGATTTAAGCAATGGGTTTTAAAGATGTGAATACGTACCCCATAGAGAACCCCTCCGATGGCTGGCCCACACATAAAACCGAGTCCAACAAACACCTCACCTAATCCCTGTGGACACAAAGTAGCCTAGTGTCAGTAACACCAGGAATAAAATACCTACAACTAACTAAGTACGTCCAACACTGCAATCATATCACATGACAAATATTACGGGGTTTTAACTAGTTTTTTATGACATAAATATTATATATATTTATTCTGACAAAATTAATGTTTTACAATCCTTTGACAATCGGCAATGAAATAAAAAAAAACAATTAAATTAAACATGTTTCAAAGTTGTGAGGTTTAGATCTCATTTTTTTCTTTAAAACTGTATTTCTGTGCTTGGTTTTGCCAGTCTTCATCTAATATATATTCAAACTGTTAAACTGTGCTTGAATTCACAACATTTGAGGGAAGATTGTCGTTCCTATTGCATACATCAACATTCAACATGAAGATTCTCATAAAATCTACTGCCATTTACTGAGTGTGCTTATTAATCTGAGAAAGACAGAGTTAAATCAATAATGGCTTGATTTTTTTTTACAGAACAGTTCAGCATTTTTCAGCATTATCCTGAACAGTTCAGCATTTTTCAGCATTAACATGAACAGTTCAGCATTTTTCGGCATTATCCTGAACAGTTCAGCAGTTTTCAGCATAGTGCTGAACAGTTCAGCATTTTTCAGCATCAACCTGAACAGTTCAGCAGTTTTCAGCAGTTTTCAGTTAAGTTCAGCAAAATTCAGCATCTGTAGAAACTGTGTAAGCAATGGTTCAGCATCCAATTTTAGTTTCAGCAAATTTTCAGCAACAGTTCAGCAAATCCTCAGCAAAATTCAGCAAAATTCAGCATTGTTTTTTCATGAGGGTTGGTTATCAGGGCTGAATGTTCTATCAACAGCTAAGGTCATTTAAACCATTTCACCCCTAGGTAATTTCAGTAGACTTTATACCATACATTTATCTGGGCAAGTCCATTATGGTCTACAGTTGTGAAAGGGTTAAGGATGTGCCTCCATGTGTTTTGTGTATGAGTGCTTTTGCTTTGATCATGAGAAATTGTGTTTGGGGTGTTAATTTGGGGCCATTGAATTTGTCATTTTGGCAGATCCTCAAATTTTTTATCCCAAAAATGTTCCACTGTTCTACAATCAACTTCTATTTCCAGAAACAAAATGTCTCAACATACCTTTTGCACATCACTGAAAACCGTTCATGACTTTTACAACATATGACTCACAAACTTACAAATATGGTTCCAACAGTATCCTTAAACTCCTGAGCACACAGAGAAAAACTGGCAGTTTGGTTAGCACAGCAACCTAGAGCCATGGTAACGCGGAGTACAAAGCACATGGTGATAAAGACAGCAGTGCCTTCTGTCACGTCCACGTAGGTCATCATCCTGGAAGTGACAAATAGCAAAACTATAAACCAACATATTTCTGCCAAGTAAAATATTTGCCCGTCACAGTAAAATTCCATATTTGTTATGTGCTCATTTCGTTGAAAATGCTATGTTATGTAACCCAAACAGGATTACACACCTTCCAATTGTCATGGTAATCTGATTCCATTCCAAACAGGATGGCCCATGCATGGGCACCCTTTACTAATGAAAGTCCCAGACAGTTGCCATGGAAACCTGTTACTTACCCTAAAAAAGACAATGTGTGTCCAATAATTAAAGTCCAAGACATTTGTTATGTTAACTTAATATGGTACTTACCCAAACAGGATTGTGCACCCTCCACTTATAAAGGTCCCAGACAGTTGTTATGGTAATTTGTGGTACTTACCCAAACAGGATTGTGCACCTTCCACTCATAAAGGTCCCAGACAGTTGTTATGGTAACTTGTGGTACTTACCCAAACAGGATTGTGCACCCTCCACTTATAAAGGTCCCAGACAGTTGTTATGGTAATTTGTGGTACTTACCCAAACAGGATTGTGCACCCTCCACTTATAAAGGTCCCAGACAGTTGTTATGGTAACTTGTGGTACTTACCCAAACAGGATTGTGCACCCTCCACTTATAAAGGTCCCAGACAGTTGTTATGGTAACTTGTGGTACTTACCCAAACAGGATTGTGCACCCTCCACTTATAAAGGTCCCAGACAGTTGTTATGGTAACTTGTGGTACTTACCCAAACAGGATTGTGCACCCTCCACTTATAAAGGTCCCAGACAGTTGTTATGGTAACTTGTGGTACTTACCCAAACAGGATTGTGCACCCTCCACTTATAAAGGTCCCAGACAGTTGTTATGGTAACTTGTGGTACTTACCCAAACAGGATTGTGCACCCTCCACTTATAAAGGTCCCAGACAGTTGTTATGGTAACTTGTGGTACTTACCCAAACAGGATTGTGCACCCTCCACTTATAAAGGTCCCAGACAGTTGTTATGGTAACTTGTGGTACTTACCCAAACAGGATTGTGCACCCTCCACTTATAAAGGTCCCAGACAGTTGTTATGGTAACTTGTGGTACTTACCCAAACAGGATTGTGCACCCTCCACTTATAAAGGTCCCAGACAGTTGTTATGGTAACTTGTGGTACTTACCCAAACAGGATTGTGCACCCTCCACTTATAAAGGTCCCAGACAGTTGTTATGGTAACTTGTGGTACTTACCCAAACAGGATTGTGCACCCTCCACTTATAAAGGTCCCAGACAGTTGTTATGGTAACTTGTGGTACTTACCCAAACAGGATTGTGCACCCTCCACTTATAAAGGTCCCAGACAGTTGTTATGGTAACTTGTGGTACTTACCCAAACAGGATTGTGCACCCTCCACTTATAAAGGTCCCAGACAGTTGTTATGGTAACTTGTGGTACTTACCCAAACAGGATTGTGCACCCTCCACTTATAAAGGTCCCAGACAGTTGTTATGGTAACTTGTGGTACTTACCCAAACAGGATTGTGCACCCTCCACTTATAAAGGTCCCAGACAGTTGTTATGGTAACTTGTGGTACTTACCCAAACAGGATTGTGCACCCTCCACTTATAAAGGTCCCAGACAGTTGTTATGGTAACTTGTGGTACTTACCCAAACAGGATTGTGCACCCTCCACTTATAAAGGTCCCAGACAGTTGTTATGGTAACTTGTGGTACTTACCCAAACAGGATTGTGCACCCTCCACTTATAAAGGTCCCAGACAGTTGTTATGGTAACTTGTGGTACTTACCCAAACAGGATTGTGCACCCTCCACTTATAAAGGTCCCAGACAGTTGTTATGGTAACTTGTGGTACTTACCCAAACAGGATTGTGCACCCTCCACTTATAAAGGTCCCAGACAGTTGTTATGGTAACTTGTGGTACTTACCCAAACAGGATTGTGCACCCTCCACTTATAAAGGTCCCAGACAGTTGTTATGGTAACTTGTGGTACTTACCCAAACAGGATTGTGCACCCTCCACTTATAAAGGTCCCAGACAGTTGTTATGGTAACTTGTGGTACTTACCCAAACAGGATTGTGCACCCTCCACTTATAAAGGTCCCAGACAGTTGTTATGGTAACTTGTGGTACTTACCCAAACAGGATTGTGCACCCTCCACTTATAAAGGTCCCAGACAGTTGTTATGGTAACTTGTGGTACTTACCCAAACAGGATTGTGCACCCTCCACTTATAAAGGTCCCAGACAGTTGTTATGGTAACTTGTGGTACTTACCCAAACAGGATTGTGCACCCTCCACTTATAAAGGTCCCAGACAGTTGTTATGGTAACTTGTGGTACTTACCCAAACAGGATTGTGCACCCTCCACTTATAAAGGTCCCAGACAGTTGTTATGGTAACTTGTGGTACTTACCCAAACATGATTGTGCACCCTCCACTTAAAAAGGTCCCAGACAGATGTTATGGTAACTTGTGGTACTTACCCAAACAGGATTGTGCATCCTCCACTGATAAAGGTCCCAGACAGGTACATAAACTTGAGACCAACAATGGGGATCTACAAAGTATGAAGACCACTATATAAGTCATCTAATTCTTATATATGTATTTTTATTTCTCACTTTTTATGATATTTGATGTTACTAATATTGACCTCTCTAAGTCAGTTGAGTTTACAAGACAAAAATATACAATTCATACAATTGATTTAAATATTCAATACAATATCAAGTCCTTGCAGAAGTTGTCTTTTCAGGCAGCTTTTGGTCCTAAGTCACCTTGCTAATACATTTGTACCTCCATATGTGTGCATTCCTATATGAGAGGTTTGAAGTATAATGGTATTACATTTTGCTGAAGGACCGGGCTTACAATGTCATTTCTCTAATCACCTCATTAGAATCATGGATGTATTAGAACAGACAATGTAGCACCCACCCAGACCATTTTATACTCTTCATGGTTAATTGGAGTTGCCTGGATAGACATAAAGACTTTCCTTTGGAAATTGCATGCTTCAATGACCTCAAGGGTTGAACCTTAGCTGTGTTTAAGGCTAGTGGGTAAGTACTTGGCAAAATCCAGCTAATACATAGTCTCAATATCAATGCCAACAGATAGGGATATGGTCTTAGCTTCAATAAGAGAACTTTAAAGGGGCTGGTCGTGGAAAAAATTACAAAATAAGTGGGTCTAAATGCGTTCTCTGGCCTTCCAAAAGTTATACCACGGTAATCTGATGGTTGAGTTCTGCTTGCAATGTCCAGTTTTGACCACTGAAATCTCGGGGAAGTCCCGCGTAAATTTAGCGCAGATCTATTTATATATGTCACGTGGTTGTTTCGAAAGTGAGGCAGTGAAGATAACAACAATAGCACGCCGTCATGTGCCATGTCGGACTCAACTAGCGGACAAGACAGCAATTCTATACGTAAATAATTGTTTTCAAAAGTCATGTATGATGCAAGTGTAGTATTCCTATCTATATGTTGTTGTTATATATAACGTTATTGATACCTCGCGCCGCGATGTTTACATTTGGCCTTGTTGATGACGCGCGTTTGGTAAAATTACATCACTGATCTGGGTCAATTGAGAGTTTTAGACTGTCAGGTGACGATTTAGGATTTCTTTAATATAATTATATTATTTACAACAATTACATCATGTTCGAAGAATAATTTTCCTTTATCTGTGTGAAAACCTCGGTTAATTCTCTATGAGTAGGTCAGGGTACAGAGAAACAGTCGTCAACAACCTATTTTGTCATTCAACTAAAATTTAAAAAAAAAAAAAATTGAAATGTTCATGTGAAGACAGACAGCTATGATGTATGTAAAATGTATTTAAGTTAGGAGAGGGCCTAATTAAGTTGTAAGAACTTGTGCCGAATCCTTTTTGTCATTTTCAAGGCAATACAAATATGTTTAAACCAACCGTGAGATAAAACTCTGTTTCAGTAAAATACAACAAGGAATGGTCGTATGGCACAGTGGATAGCACACAGGCTTGTTTGACGATTGTTGTAAATAAAGGAAAGATTAGTTTTTTACCAACACATTAAGGTGGTATTAATAGTTTTACTCTTGCCGAAATTTGTCTGCATATATATATCTATAAATCAAAAAATGTACTTCAAGTACAAAAAAAAAAAAATGTTTGTCCATATAGTTTTCCTGCCAGACATGCAGACATCGCAAACAATATTGGTATTTATAAGTTATATATATATATATATATATATATCCACACATGCTATATTTAATTCCAACCCAAACGTGCTAAAAACGTTAACAGTCTGGTTGGTATATGTTTATAAAACCACTTTTTCATACAGTAGTAATAATATAGTGTAGGTACAGGGGACAGGGGAATTCTACCCCAGGGTGAAACATCTGGATTAATCCAATCTCATGTACATGTTATGGCAAAGAACAACATACAAATTGGTTTGGGTGAACATAGACCATGATTTATTGCGCATTACATAATTACAAAACAGTAATAACAATAAAGCAGTATCATTATTTGTTTCCGTAGTTTAAACTTAAACTATGGTCCTCCTACTACGCTAATTCTACATTATCTACAATATAACAAACAAAACTAATGTAATTAAAGATAAAAAATTGGGAAAGTAAGGGTGGGTGGGAATTTAGAAAGAAGGTCAAAAATCAAAGCTGCTGCCGCCTCGCCAGAGAATTTAAAAGTGATGAGGCGGTAGCTTGGGATATCAGATGCTGACCATGGGGGTTCTCCCCAGTAGGGATCTTTCTTTACATTGGTCAGCCATGGACCCTTATCTTAACTTGGCTTAACTCTATTGGTCAGCTTTGACCAGACAAGTGCCAAATTAGGTATGTATTTTCTGAAGAAGTCCGAGAGCCTTCTGGGAGTAATAAGATATGTTGATACATAAATGCAGAAAGGTTCCGAAAGAAAAGACCAATGTAAACATAGCCTACATAGGCACAGGCAGTCAGACTGCATGATCGGACAGCAGTCTGATCGCCTGCTGCATGCAGAGCTACACATGCATAGCTACACATGCATAGCTACACAAAATTTTATGCAAATAAAATTGCCTACCATCAAAGTATTAATAACATATTAAGTCTTAATATTTTCGTCAGCTTAGCAAACAGAAGCTGTAACATCGACAAGGTTATACAGTTCCCAGTTTACATGGTGTTACAGTTATTCACCCCATCAAACAAGTTTATACAGTTCCCAGTTTACATGGTGTTACAGTTATTCACCCCATCAAACAAGATTACACACTCACACTTTGTTCAGTCTCTGTCACGAGCCTTAAGATACTTATAAACTATACAACAAACATGGCGACTTTTGAATACCTACACAGCACTAGATTCAGGACAGAATTTTTCCCTATTCACTCTGCATTCCATCAAACTGCTCTTGATGAGAACTAAGTATTATGGAAGTGTACTTTGGAAGAAGACAGAATTGTTGAAAGATCAAGGCAAGATATTGAAAGAAAATAACATTAACATATGAACAAAGAGTGAAAGCCCAATATATACACAAATGTCTGCCCTCCACAGAGTATGAAATACAAAAATTGTGATATGCCCAGACAAAGTGATGCACTGACGGAATGACAGTGCTAACCCAAAGTACTGTCTTTTACTGTAGTACCGGTGTCATATAAGATAAGTATCCCTCATAGGATAAGTATCCGGATACTAAAACTGGCCATAGGATAAGTATCCCCCCATAGGATTAGTATCCCCCCAAATCATATTAAACTTTTACTGTACATAGGTGTTGGATATATTGATTTTATCTAGGAGGAAGTATTAATGAACATTATTTTTATAGCTGGATGCTTACAAGAAACTTTTGACGGTATACATTAGAGGAATATTGGATGTGGTGCATGGTGTTAGCTGTTTGAGGGCGATTGTTTAATTTAAGGGTAACAATTAATGATGTAGAATGAGTGAAAAATGAACCTAAATAGCTTATACACATGTTTTAATTTATCATTCTTACACAAACATTAATGGTTTACTGTATATAGAGCTTTAATTTAACTAATTAATACAAAATTACGATATTATATATTTAAAATATAATATAGTGATCTATAGTCATAATCTTGACATGCTGGGTTACAGTAAACATACATGCAGTTTGGTTGCCTATTAACATTTTTTAACATTCATATATGTAGGTGTTTAATGTGTCCATCTTCTTACCTGGTGAGTCTTTCACCAACAATGACAATGGGGAGGGGTGGCCATGGGGGCAGTCATGAATGGAGGTGTGATATCTACACTCCACAGGCTAGCCATGGACTTGACAGGTGTAGGTTTATATACAGACTGTATGTATTAATTAATGCTTATGAAATAACTATGCCTATCTATGTGAGAACACAATTATTATTAATTGTCATTATTTGATCAAAATCAAATATAAAGAGTTAAATTCATTAAAGGGTAGTA